GAAGCGAAGACAGGGCGTGCTCGACGCTGCTTCACAGACTTATTTTATGGGTTCCGAAAGCAACGTTAGACATTCTGGGGGCGTACGCGGAGGACCTCTTTCGGGCGATTTTTGGTCTCGAATTAGATTGTGGAAAGCTGTGGCGGAGGAAATCACTCGGAACAGGTGTCTATACACCCGTGGGAGGTGAGAGAACGGCTTCGTGTGCACCAGTCTGAGGACCCGTGGCCAGAGGACCCGTGGGAGATGAGAGAACGGCTTCTTGTGACCCGTGGGAGGTGAGAGAACAGCTTTTTCGAGGCTTCCGAGCTTCACAGACTTATATTACGGGTTCCGAAAGCAACGTTAACGGGTCGAAAGCGGAAGGAAGGGCGTGCTTGACGCTGCTTCACAGACTTGTTGTACGGGTTCCGAAAGCAACGTTAGACATTCTGGGGGCGTACGCGGAGGACCTCTTTCGGGCGATTTTTGGTCTCGAATTAGATTGTGGAAAGCTGTGGCTCCGTGTCCGTGGCTGAAAAGTGTCGTGTACCGTGGCTCCGTGTCTTTATCCAAGGCAAGCCGCTCTATTTTTTTGAAGTCTGATCTAGATCTTGCTCAGGGAGCAGTGGTGAGGCTGATCTAAGGGATTCGTTGGATGGACAAGGATGTTTGTCCTTGATTTTGAAGCTGGTTAGGCGGCTTGCGCCCTTTTACCAACAAGCTCCACACTGAAATTGTTCAAACACTGCTGAATGTCCAATACAATGATTCCTGTGTGATGGTGTAGCCGAGTCCAGCTTAGGATGATGGACTTTGAGCGAACGCGCTGAAAAGAGCTTGGCACAGCTTGCAACACTGACAATACAATCACCATCAACCACCTGTACATGACATGTTAAGACCCAAATGTTTTTAACTCACACCTCAATGGGGGGAAATCTCCTTTTATATATAAAAGAACAATTGAATTGATCTATTGCGTTGCGTATAGGCGGACTTCTGTCCTGTTTTCCAGCTTCACGGCTGAAATATAGATCCCCGGGGTCGGCGGCAGGGGGGCGGAGCCCTTACAATATATTCGCCCCAGAAAAGGCAAAGGGGGGAAATGGATTGAACATGATTAAACATAGAACGGTTCGATTGTTCAAGCAGTAGCATGTGCAAGCCTTCCTCCTCCATCTCTTCCACCGCTTGCGCAGCGGCTTCGCCATTCTCGACCTCACCGAGTCTCGAGAATCATCTCCCGCCGCCGTTGCTTGGACGTTCTGGAAATGGCTGAGACAAAGGAAGAAAAAGAGAAGAAAACGATTGTTAAAGACCTCGACTTGGAGGAAACAACTCATTGATCTCAAGCAAGCCCAACCTAAAACTTTGGAGAGACCCTTCACAAACCAAACTTCAAGTGGCACTGGCTTGCATGTCTATGTTTGCCAAAAGGACTAGGTGATTCCAAAGAACTCCTACAGTGTCCTACAGCCAACGGAGTGTGCGTTGGAGCCCACCTCAAACACCCTGAAACCTCCAACCAGTCCCCTGCAACCCGGGCACGTCACGGGCTCAAACAAAGCGTGTTCTTTGTTGCAAGGAAAAAGGACCTGCTAGAAGCTCCGTTTCCAGAACCACCGCGGACCACTCCAGGAGTAGAGCAAAACACGGATCCCCCGCAACCTCCACGACGCGGCGGCCACTGGGGTCTTCTTTCTGTCTCCGGAGCAAGGCGCAATCCTCTTGCGCTCCAGGGACTTCATCTTCAGATCCTGGGTCCCAGTTCCACACCGGTCCCCCATCCGTCCCCCATCGGTCCCCGGCCGCACGGCCGGGGGCTTTCGGAGGTGGAGAGACCGGGGGGCTTTCTTGGGGATCGGTCGAGGCATCGACTTACAGGACGTATCCACCCACGGCGGCTCAAAGGACAGCTTGATCTATGGATCAACCGAGCTCGAACAGCTCAATGATCGGACCAACTCATCACAGAGCTCAAGTCCTGGGTGAAGTCCTCGGCAAACTCGAGAATCTCCTGGAGTGGCCAGGGAGTAGTGGCCCATTGAAGGGCCCATCTCATGGGACAGCCTGTTCCGGGAGGTTCGGTCCAACCTGGTGTCCAAACCATCGCCTTCGGACCGCATGGGCTCACCGACAACACACACGCCGACATCTTCGTCTCACTCCCATAAGGTTTTGGATGGACTGGGTCTCACCGACAAGGTCGGCACCCAACGTCTCACTCCAAACCGCACTCCGCGCGCGCGACTTTCCAAGAAGCAAGCGACTCAAGTCGAGAAGACGACATCACGACCCTCATGACTTCGGTCTCCTCCAAGCTTACGGCGCCTTGCTCCTCCGCCCACTCGTTGGCGGCCGCCAAGTAAGCCTCTAGCCTGGGCCAAAGTGGTTTTGCAATGTTTTGCATGTTTTGCTGGGCCCAGCACGAAACTGCAGTATCTCCGCACAGCAGTGGGTTTGGGCAAAAAGAAGTCACATGGATTCCATGTGAATGCCTTTTCGGGCGTTTGATGATGAACTCTGTGCTGTGTGCTTGTCCGGACTCATGGCTTGTTGACCAGTGAGTCTGATGGCTCCACGTACGCTGCGGGAAGCTCCTGGCTCCTACCCGGAACCCTTGGGAAGCTCCGACGACCACGACGGCACGGACAGCGACGCACCGGTTCCCGGCCTCAGTTCCCGGAGCCAGGCGCCCAATCGAGGCACCACGTCCTGAGTGTCACAGACTGAAAGTGGATGTGTAGCTCAAATAGGGGGGCCCCCAAATCAGCGACCCCCTGGAAGAAGGAATAGAGACCTCTCTAGACCCAGCCAGAGCCAGGGGGGCAACTGCCTTATCAAAGATCAAACATTCTTCTAGAGCATCTATAATCAACAGTGACTGGTTTGATTCCCAGTGGTGGTGGTTTTTGTGGTACAGCGGAGTCTACTGACTTGGGGCCACGGTCGGTCCTCTCAAGCGAGTGACTTGGAAAAAGGAATATCCGAATAGGTACAAAAGACCGAATGGAAAGTCTTTCCAACGTCCACGCAACCTGCCATGCTCTCTCTCCCGTCTCTCCCTCTTCGCGTCCCTCTCTGCCTCTCCCGCAAGAACGAGATTACATGAGATTACTTAAAGGTCAGCGAGATGTTACAGGTCGATTACTTTGGTCTTCTCAATGGGGACTCAAAAGCTGGAGCCCCTGCGTCCCCGAGCTCTGATGGGCTCTGCAGGACACCACCGTGGTCCCATTTGTCTTATTCCCATCAGTCCCTCCACTTCAGCTCAACTGCCTTAGCTGCCGCTGGAGCTGGCACCTGCCAGCAAAGGGGACACCGCTACAGGTGGGAGTCCCAACAAAAACAGGTCAGGCTGCCTCAGGCCATGGCTTTTTTCCTGCGCCAACTGTCGCGGCCATGACTTTCACGAGATCTGAGCAATTATATAGAGAAATCGTCTGGAAACATGACCTACTCATCCAAAGGTCTGTATACCGCCTGCATGTCCCGCTCAAAATAGCTGCAGCCCTTTTCAGCCCTAATTGAGTGCCTTTGGTTTACCCAAGCACACACAGGAATCCGGTCAGAGGCAACTATCTGCTTGTTAGCGCTCTAATGATTTTGTGACAGGTCAGATCTGCGTTTTTGGTTTCAAGGATCTTCCAAAGTCTCTACACCGATGCCAGCTTTGCTCCAGCCCGCCTGGCTTCCTTTGGGTGCCTTGGCTGGGGCCGGCTGCACCTCGGAGGTGCGGGAAGGAAGGCCAACTTGATGTACTGTACGGCCAGGAGCCCCGTCCGTAGCGTCCTTGCTACTCACTTGGAGAATCCCAAGACACAACTTCGTTTCATTCTGTGTCTAGTAATTTTGCCGTGTGCCTACGTGGAGCTGCATGTCAGGGGACATGCTTTTCAGGTCCGCGACCTGAGGCTTTGGATAGCTTGAGGAACTGATGTGGCCCAGCAGTGTCTGGTTGGATGCATACATCTGATTTACAAAGAACTGATGATTCGTCAAATCTGCTCGAGGTCTCCCCAGTCACCATGCCAGCAGCATCCCCATTTCAACAAAGTCATGGTCACTTCGGGCACTCGCACACTAACACCCCATGCCAGCTACGCTGACTCGCTTGCCTTGGGTGCTGCCGCCGGAGCCGGAGCCGGCTGAACCTCGGTGGAGGCAAAAGTCCATCGCCGGGCCAAGGTCTGCACCTAGAACTGTCAACAACCGTCACTTGGGTTGGTCGCCGTCCAGGGTTCCGTGAAGTCGAGTTTCGCCATCCAAAAAGACCTGTTGGGTGAAACGCCTCGCTATGGCCACCTATCTGCGGCCAAGGGGGAAATAGACCACCCAATCTCGAAGTCGAAGAGGGAAATCCAGGATCCCCACCACAGATCCCAAGCTCCCAAGCTCCGCTCCCAAGCTCCGCCTTCGCTGCAGCTGGTGCTGCGGGCGCCGCGGGCGCCGGCCGAGCGGCCGCCTCGCTGGCACCCCGGTGGACCCGGCTTGGGCCATGACAAAGCGGCATCTGATTGGTCAATCCAGTTTGTCAACCGAACCTCTGGCTAGATGGATCATGATCTTAAGGTGTATTTGCATTGAATTGACAAACAGTAGTTCCATGTCAGCGTGGCCGTCTGTGGCATGAACAAGCTGCTCCTTTCGTGCCATCTTTCCAGACTCACGACCGGAGTTCTGGAAGCCAATGGAAAGGGTTGCCAAGCAGGACATATTCCGAGACCCTGTGGAACTTGATTCCTTTTGAGTTTGCAGTAGCTCTTACAGTGTTACAAGTCATTGAAAAGTCTTGGTCAGGCGGCCAGGCACAGGACAGGAAGAGGACGCCACCCCGCTCAGTCGAAGACTAAACAATGTTCTTACAGTCAGTGTCTTATTGGCAGTGCAAGTTATGCCTATACCAATATAATTACTGTACTACACTCCACCCTTCAGCGTCCAAAACCAGATTCCAGGGGGCAACCGCCATTTCCCCCCACCTTCGGCTTGTGCGTGCCATTCACCGCAGCCGCGGCCGGTGCCGCCGCAGGCGCTGTCGCAGTGGTCCGGGAGGTTGCGGACGTCGATGGCTTGCAGTGATCCCAGTACTCCTGCTGTCGGCGTGGGTTGTGGCTTGCTACCATGTCTGATACTCAAGAATCTTGGCTCAATCCCAAAGCCATATTGGACAAACCCCAGTACAAACCACCACTTGCGAAGATGGCTCACCAAAATTGATGAGGCGGGCGAATGGAGCGTGGCTAAATCTCCTCTCTTTACATGAAATAAAACAATCTTTCGGACCACCATGCTGCGGCGTCCTTGATCTCTTGCGGGGAGTATTGTCCCGCATAGTGCTTTTGGAGCTCGGCGAACGTCCTGCCGTTGGGTGTAGTCTTACAACTTTGAGAAAGGGCCCAGGCCTTCCACCCACAGGGTTTCACTGCGTAGTATATGTCTGAGTTGTGGATTGCTGCATGCCAGTAGCTTCTTGTTACTAGTAGCGATGGCCTCCAACCTAGTATAGCTTCTTGTTACTAAGTCTATGTCTGGGTCGTGGATTTCTGCGTGCCCGTTCGTTTGGTTCGGTTTTTAGATCCGAGTGGGTCCGGGTCTCGGCGGGTCTCGACGGGTCGGTCGCGATTTCCCCAGTGGTCGCCGAACGCGGAACGGCTCAGTAGAAGTGAGCCATGATTGTTCAATGACCCTTGTCAAACACAAGACATGTTGCCACAAGTAGTGGGTCTCTCTAGGGAGACCTACCCACATCTGGTGGAAAAGTAGATGATCGCAAGTTCCATGATCCAGCTCACTCATACACTAGAGTCACTAGAGTACAAAAGGAGACAAAAGGGCTTGGCTTTCGGCCAATGCTCCCAACGTCACGGACTGGCCACCCGTGTTCTTCTCCGCCGGGATGGCCCGGGATGACGCCGTGCCATGGCGCCAAAAGGATCACCGAAATCGATGAAACCAGCTCTGTCTCACCCAGCGATGGAGACTCCGGATGGACCAAGTGAGACCTTCGCATCCGAAGACACTCCCGGCTCGGGGCTCGGGGCACACCCCGTCCCTCCAAGGGTCTGGAAAATGCAAGACCTCGCCACCCCAATCGGTGCCGGTCAAAGGCGCCTGGTCACCCCATCTTCGGGATCCACCCGCTTTTCAGGCTGCGGCTTAGCTTTGGGCGCAGCCTGGAGGGGCTGCAGCTTAGCTTTGGCCAACCGACGTGCCATTTCTCCAACAATTGGATGATCCATTCCGCATACGGTCCAAAATCGTGAGATTCGCCAATGGTGCAGGTTCCATTGTACTCTACTGAACACTTTTGGCCAGCCAGTCTTTTCCTAGCGGGGCTCAAATTTGGTTCAGAATTCAGAATTGCTTTTGGAAGGGTTCGCCGGGAGTCCCACGAAGGAGGACAGTTCTCTCCCTTCCACCAAGCCAGTTCCTGATAACTCCCATTTCGCCATGGCTCAAATGTCCATCGAAGTGGGGTACACCCAAAACTCAAAATGGAGAACATAGGTCTTCCTTTTTGATGCACAGCCATTGAAAAGAGACCCACCTCCCAGATGTTCCGTTCGTCATCTCCGCACCTCAGCATGAGCTCCATCCAGGATGGCCATCGCCTGCAGGGTCAAGTAGGGGAAGCCCTGTTTAAGAGATTCTGAGAGAAGGTATACACTGTCTATATCCAACAGTCACATGGTCTTCTTTCCCCATCTTTCTAGTAGATGCCAGTCCTAGGGGAAAGAAAGCTCTTGTGGCCACTTCCATGATTCTTGGAGGGTACCAAAACGGAAGGCGAACCCTTTTCAACCCTCTTCGCTTTCGGGGCCCGGCCTCATCCAAGCGTTCGGCCAGCTTGTTGTGATCCTCCAAGCCTCGGGAGAAAGGTGGAGGCGGAGGCGAAAGGGCAAAGCGATGGAGGGAAGGAAGGTACCGCCCTTGGTGGGTTGGACTGTGTTTGTGTGACATGTTGGTGGTGCTTTCCCTGGTGGTGAAGAACTTTCCCTGTCACCAGGGGTTGTTGACCCACAAAACGAACAGCATGGTCAACCGGGGAATCCGAAGCAACACAAAAGGTCTTGATCCCGGAGCCCCAACAAAATGTCGGTAAGTTCCATGGCTTTGAGACAAAGCTCCATGCCTTTATTTGGTACTTCAGAAGGCGACTGAAAGGCCAGACCTTCCGGAACTTCTCGTTGGGTGAACCAGTTCTCCTCCGTCACAGGTGCGCGCCATTCGCCTGATTGGTTGCCCCAGGTGCAGGCCCAGCATTCGGCCTCACCCAGCTGCAGGAGCATGCCAGTGAGCTTCGGCGCCAGTTCAGGCTGCACCTGCTGTACCTAGACCACCGGACCCAAGAACAGCGAGACCCTCGCAGTCGCGGACGGCGAGACCCGGGAAGACTGCAGGCTTGAGAGGGTTCGGAGGTCTCCGATGGGGTGCACACCACATGACGGGCATGATGCTTCTAGTTTCTAGTGATCTCTAGTGTATATAAATAGCCAGGCTCTGCATTGGGTAACGGCGGTCGCTCGCTCCGGTCGGACATCGTTGGGGCCATCGCGGTCGTCGTTGAGCTTCGGTGGCCAGGCATCTACGGTCCACGTTCATGGAAAACATCAACGGAACGAAATCTGTAGTGAGATGTTGGGCATGTGTCCATTTTTGCCAAACAGCAAGCATGTGAGAACTCAACAAGAAAAGACCCTTCTGGATCCTCTCGCCGAGGTGCCACGGCAAACAGCTCATTGCCCACATCGCCCATGGTGCCAGGAGCGGCCAGGGGTGGGGGTGGTTGGGGTTCTTCGATGTCTCATGTGCCAGGCAACAAAAATGGGATTGCAAAACGTCCCCACATGGATAGTAGACAGGAAAGCCATGCATTCTTTAGGGGGAAGAAACTGTTCTATCGTTCTATCTCGATCTCCAACGATCGCTATGAATCGATATTCATCGGTTCAAGCACTTTCGCAACGCCCGGGGGGTTCTATATTCATCTGTTGAGGCATTAAGGCTGTGAGCTGCCAAAAGGCTCGCGTGGGTTGGTTGGGAAGGGTGATTGAAACCGTCTAAGCGCCTTGTTGGGTATGTCGGTATGTATCAATGTTTTCTCAGGCATCGGATTGCTGTGGCTAATCTACGGCATTCACCTCGCGACAAAGACCTGTCCATTTCACGAAGTTCTGTTGGTTGGACATTCGGTAGACCACTGTTGCTGTCACTGTGTTCCTTCCAAACACCGCCTTGCTTGGGGCCCTCAGTGCCAGGACCCTGCGCCGAAAACGCGCCTCTGCTTGGAGCACGCACACCTCTCTACATCGCCAGTGCCGGAACAAATCCGTTCTGTTGGGGGGTTTCCCTGCCTTTCGAGGGATCGCTCGGATTCGATGTGGTTGACTCAGCCGGTTGCGCCAGCCGGGATGGGCGGTCTCGAGCCAGCTGTCCGTCGGGCGAGGTTAGGTTCACAGGTCTCAGGAGTCATTGGTTCGAGCGACTTCTCACCAGACTCTTGGTGTAGTGGTCAAGAGCCAGGACTTCTGAGGCATGAATCTCTCTAGTACATTCTAGTACTACCAGCTTCAGCTCTACGCTGCGATGAAGCGCGCGCGCGCCTGGGCCGTTCTCGGCGAACCGTTCGGCGGTCGCAGCATCGACCTGGACCGAGCAGCAAACAAATGGTAGGGAGACCTGGCAACGACCCCCTGGAAGGGTGTATAACAAGGGTGAACTATGAGATAGCCTTCAGAGATTCTGTAGGGAGAGCCGGCACGATCACCTGAAATAGACAAAAAAATTAAAAACCTACCAACCCCCGACATACTGGGGGGGGCAGAACTGCCTGCTATTTGCTGAGCAAGCCCAGATCTGGTGGATGATCCTGATGAGCTTTTTGGGATTCGCCCGAAGTCGTTGGACGCGGCATCGGGCCAAAAGGTGCTCGTCCAGCGACGAGCCACTGGAGGGGGATCACTTGCTGTGGACACGCGCCAGGTCAGCCAAGCGCTCCTGACAAGGAAAAGGACGACAAGCATCCCATGCTGCCGGGTGAATCTACGTTTCTGCCTTGCACCAGATAGACATCAAAGAAATAAACTGAAGGTCCAAAAACTAGGAATGGTCTTTACTGGACGTCTGAAAGGGACTTTCAATACCACTTCGATAGAGAGTATCAACTAGGTTGCAAACGAAAAACCTGCTTCAAACCGTTCACACCTTTGATCTGGCTTCCAGCCGCTCCGGCGCCCAGCCAAAAAAGGCACCCCTAGGGTCGCAGCTCCTTCTCTCTTTCCTTCAGGGCATCCAGGTCAGGCTCCTGCGAGCTTCGGCACGGTCTTCACAGAGTTAGGTGCCCTCTTTCTGAATGTTCCCTTTAACTTGTTAACACTTGGCCTCCAGACACAGCCGCAGATTCCTCATGTTTCCGTGTGCTTTCGCTCGCATTCCCAGATCAACACGACCAAAACCTCAGTTGCTAGACTGGCCAAACACCTTTGTCCCGGCTTCTCCTGCCCAAAAAGAATCACCTCCGCTCCTTCGGCTCCAAGCCCAACGCCCGGGCCACCGCCAGCAACGCCTCCGGTCCACGGCAGCCGGGTCCCAGGTCGCACACCATGGCGTCGAGCTCCTCCACAGTGAAGGGCTCCAAACCCGAGAGGTACCTGGAGAGCTTGGTTTGGGCAGGTGCATGGGTGATCTGGGAGATCAGGTCCGCATGGATGATCTGCAAGAGGCCGGAGCCAAATGTGGCGAAAAACAGGCAAGAACATGCAGTCCGCTGTGGGCTGGGCCAACTGAACTTCTGCAACAAGCAGTGGGAGCAGGGTGCACTTGGTGCACTTGGAACCTGGAACAGGCCTGCCAGAAGCTGAGGGGGAAGGTGAGGGCATCCACCAGAGCTTCGTTGCGTCAGGTAGGTGTATCGAGCCTGATGCCCCTGCATTAGAATCCTCTTCTGGTCCCATAGAAACAGGCTGGGATCTTCTATGTACCAGGGCTCTGCGAGTTGTTTTCTGATCTGTTCGGGTACTCAAGATGCCGACGCCTTTGCCCTCTGGACCGGTCCACGAGTTCGACCAAGACCGCGCACTCGGCCATCTGCATCTTCTTGTAGTTCTCGAAGGTGTATGGACCATATGTCTCATGAAACTGCTTTTCATGCCTCCAGTCCTTGGCTTCGGATAGCATGGCACTGAAAAAACCATGAGAGCTCAGCAGGTTCAACGAGTTGGGGATTTTCCAATACTAGTCTCAAACATCATGAGAAAAAATGTGCCTTTGCAGATCCCAGACTCTTCCACGGTCTTCTTGGTGTTGCTGAGATAATTCTCCAGCCTTTGTAAGGACCCGCTGATCACCACCTGGCGATCCGCGCGTCGCAGTCTTTCGTTTAATACATACTTTAAAAAGCTTTAAAAAACAAATATATATTAAATATATATATATATATGTATATACATATCATATAATCGAGAATGTCCAAGATTCAGCACCCTTGACACCCGCTCTCCAAACCGAGGACTTTCTCCGGTTCGCCATCCGTCCACCGCCAGCGAAAGGGGTCGTTCGGGCGCCTCCGGATCGCAGTCGAGCCTCAAGAAGGTAATCCCAGGCAAGACCTGAGCTACAGGCTACAGCCAGTTCACCTGGTAGAAAATCCTCCTCAAAACAGGAAAACAGGATGCTTCTACACTCCCTGAAGTAAGCATAGGTGTGGAGTGCACCACCTATTTGGTATTCGGATTTCATGCCCATCCTTTTGGAGCGCCATCCACTTCCATGATCTTGTGGAGTTTTATCCCCATTGTATCGCTGCAAAAAATCCATCGCTGCATCGCTGCGTTTTCAGAAGGCTCACCTGGCGGAAGTAGTCGCGCATCTCCTTCCGGTAGACCGAGAAGGTCAACGCCAAGGGCGACGGCCTTGCTGCCCGCGAGCAGCGCACGAAGACGGAGGTGCCATCCCGAAGCCACTGGTCGTCCAAGACCAAAGCTGGGCAGGTTCCCAAATCCTATTTGTTTGAAGCCACATATCCACCGAAACGGGAACCTGTCACAGACCCCCCCAAATAACATACTGTAAATAAGGTGGGAGCTCTTGGTAACAATCGTCACCACAAACGAGCCTGAAGTACAAATGACCGGGCCGCCCGTCTGTCAAATGGGCTCATCCATTTAGAGCTGGTTTCACATGAAGTTGGGATGAAGTTGGGCATGGGGTCCATGGGGTGTGGCGGAAGGCCACCGGGCCCGGGCCCTCGCTTCCAGTGCGATCGAAGGTACTGGGAGGCGCACTGGCGTGCCAGCTCATCACAGTAGGGTTGCCACAGTTCGGGTGGCGCGGGGAGGTTCTTGAACCAGTACTGGTAGAAGGACTTCAACTCGGCGCCCCGCTGGACAGCGAGGAGAAGGTGCTACTCTCCAACGCACATGTTCACATGGAATTGGAAAATGATGCCCCTGGGAATAGGCGGTTTTCCATAGTGTTCTTCTGCAAGCAGGTGCTCTGTTTCCGTGCGATTTGTTCATCAGAGGGTCAAAGCTTTCTAACCAAACTTGGCGCAAATCGGCAACGATATGAATTGCTGGTCTGAGATTGGGAGCTTGATCCTTGGGAGCTTGACCGGAGCCCGCGATTTCCAATGGGTTCAAGGTGGCAGTTGACTTCAACCCGCAATATCACACATGAGTGGTAGACAAAGTCAATGATTTCGCTCACGCCGCTTGGCCAAAAAAGCATGTCTGTCCCGGATCAACAGCAGGAATGAGTTATGTAGCTGCAAGGGAGCTCTCCTTAGCTTCCTTTTGGAAGAGGAATCTGGATATCCCATACAGCTCCGTCCAAAACACCAGCTATATCGTCGATGTTCCTGCTCTCGACCTCATGGAACCTCGGGGACCAGGTGTCCGCCAAGATGCCAGTCCTTCCTTCAGCCGCTGGCTCTGCTCATCACTCTGGTGCAGGAGGCGGTCCCCATCCAGGTGGCTCCACCCATGCGTGCGCCTGTCCGCCCGGCGCCGCCCAAACGAACTCGGCCATGCGGATCGAGCGCATTCCGATGGCCAAGTCCTATGCCTTGGGTCTATCCTAATAGCAGGGCCTCAGTGGATGATGGTTGGTGAAGGTTCCAAAATAGTGTTACCTTGTTTACATTTGTTTACAGGTCCTGTTACAGGTAAGTGTTCGGACAGACCCAACCTATGCCGCCCCAACACGATCCATCGCCGCAGCCAGCCTCTACGTTCGGACTCTTTAACCCCTGCTCTCCGCTTCTCCACGAAAGGAGAAGACCGTGTTCGCAGGATCAAGGAAACGAAGGGACCCACAAAAAACAACTCCGACGAACACATCCCTATCTGACATGGAAGATTCATGGGAAAAAGCAAACGGTTCGAAAAGGAATAATTCTCGTCTTCCAAGGGACCATGCGTTTTTCACGGACACCATGATTCGTGGAACCGCGTCTCTTTTCTCGATGGGTTCGACACCGGTGGTTCCCTGACCGTGGCCACCGACGGGGACCGGCGGCCGAGGCACTCCAAGTAGCTGCCAGCGAAGGTCTTTCCGGCGCCAGACCACCCGGTAATGCATACCACACGTGGGAGTCCAGTCATCCACAAGAAGCGAGGGTGGTGGGTGTTTTATCTTTGTCTGCTGTCCAACAGTCGGTGGTTGACCCGATAAAAATCGCAGAAAATCAAGAAAGCACCGTGTTTGTTTGCGGATATTCATGGTGATAAGTGATAGGATGGTGATATGGATACCCAA